AAGCAAGATAAGCCCCAAATATAATTTCCAGTATTAAGAAATATTTCAGCATATGTTCCAACAACAGAGGGCAACAAATTAAACTAAGATAAGTCCTGAAATATAATTTCCAGCATTAGGAAGATTCCAGCATGTGTTCCAACAACGAAGGGCAACAAATTAAGCTAAGATAAGCCCTCAAATATAATTTCCAGCATTAGGAAGATTCCAGCATCTGTTCCAACAACGGGGGCAGCAAATAGGAACAAAAATAAGCCCAAACATGCTTTTCCAATTTATAAAACGCTTCCAGATTTCATGTCATTCGAAATAATGTAAAATAGAGGAGGGGAGAAAAAAAAATACCTCTTAATGCCGACTTAAAGCAAAAGAAAATGTAAGAAAGATCCAATGAAGTGCCTCCCAAAGAGATTCTTCTAAAAAAGAAACTTCAAAAAAAATAGCAACCGGCAAATCCTTTAAACTTCCACAAATCCTTTAAAATCCTTTAAACTTCCAGCACACCAGAAGCTAGTCAAACAGAAATTTCGACAGATCTTTCTTCTTGAAAGCTTTGAGAAACAGCCACCAACGGATGCTCACAACAGCACAAAAGCCACTCCTCTTCTTTCAGACTTTTCTCAAGAGAAAACAGGATTCCAGAAAAAAAAAATCCAGCAAACAAATAAAATGGCAGCACCTCTCCCTCAAGAAAATTTCGGCTCCGAAAACTCCACAAATTTTCTCGACAGCACTTCCAAAATGGCTCAAGCACACGAGATAAACAGAGCAAGAAAAATCGAACCAAGGAGATTTAGAGGAGATTTTGGCAGCACCTCCATCCTCTCCAAAAATTTTCGGCCAGCCCTAGGATCTCCCCAAAATGGGGTTTTTATAGCAAAAAAGGGAGGATGAAGAATACCATCGCTCACCTGGGCGGTGACCGAACCAAGAGAAGCGACAATCCTCGCGTGAGGAGATGACGACGAGAATCGCAGAGGCGTGGGAGGGGAAAGCCGGAGCGCGTCAGAGGGAGTAGGTGGAAGCTTTTCGCAGGGCGGCAGGCGTACGAGAAGGGGGACCGCAGGCCGAATCTTCGCAATCGGCGAGGGGGCTCTGTCGGTTTGGCTAGGGCTCACGATTAGAGAGGATGGAAGGCTCGGGCCGGCCTCGCGAGCGGGAAGAAAGGGCGATCGTGCGAACCGTGTGATTTAGAGATTTAGGTCTGTCGGTTCGGCTAGGGCTCACGATCGAAGAGGAAGGAAGAAAGCTCGGGCAGGCCTCGCGAACGGGAAGAAAGAGAGCCGTGCGATTGAGCGAACCGTGGGATTTAGGGATTTAGGTTTAGAAAAAAAAACAAAATTATATATATATAAAATTTCATGTGATTTATCTATGTGCGGCGCCCTAGCAAAAATGGGTGTCCTCCCTAGGTAATTTCGACATTCCGGACGCACCGGCGCTGTCTGTTTTGTCGTCAGATGTCGTTTTGACAAATTCATCGATTTATGTGCCAATTTCCTCGTGCCGAAAATATGACAATATGGGTGTTTCTTCCTATCAAAATTGGTGTCAAAATTTCCTACCAAAATTGATATCCCGGACGCGTTGGCGCAGTCCAATTTGTTGTCGGGGGTCGTCCGGAGAAGTTCGCATTTTGACCCCTCCTCTTGGCTTAATTGAAGTCCGATTTCATGCAATTTTGTGAACTTTGTGTATTTGGTGTGTGTATGTGACGAGAAAGTCGTGACGATGTTTTCCTAAGGCTTGAAGTCCTATTAGGAACTTTTCCCTTGAGTCTTCGCAAAATAACCCATAACCGCTCGTTCATAAGACGATGGTCTTGTGCCAAAAATGCTAGACATCAAAGGAAAATAAGAATTGGCTAGGATTTTCTAAAAGTGTGGGTCTCAATTCTAGTTTTCTAAGATGATCAATAGAAACTCCTAGAGCTAGATCCTAAGACCTTAAGGGAAAAGAAATGACCTCAAAAATGAGGTCAACATGATACAAATGTGGTTGTATAGTGATATTATTAGTATTAGCGTATTGTAGTGTTATTATGATACAAATATGATTATATTGTGGTATTATTAATGTGGCGGTGTTATTAGTGCAGTATTATGATGTTATTAATATACAAATGTGGTTGTATTGTGGTGTTATTAGTGTTATAGTATGGTGTTATTGTCATACAAATATGGTTGTGCAGTGATGTTATTAGTGTCGTTGTATTAGGATGTTATTGTGATATAATTATTGTTGTATTGTGGTGTTATTTATGTAATATTAGAGTGTAATTGTCATACAAATGTGATTGTATGGTGGTGTTATTAGTGTGGTCGTATTGTAAAATTATTAGTATAGTATTATGGTGTTACTGTGATACAAATATTGTATTATTGTAGTGTTATTAGTGTGGTGATAATATTATGTTAATAGTGTGATTGTATGATGGTGTTATTAGTGTAGTATTATGGTGTTACTGTGACACAAATGTGGTGTTATTGTGGTGTTATTATTGTGATGATAATTTAGGGTTAATAATATGGTTGTATTGTGGTGTTATTAGTGCAAATATAGTTGTATTGTGATGTTATTAGTCTGTTGTATGGTTTTATTGTCATATAAATGTTGTTGTACAGTGATGTTATTAGTGCAGTCGTATTATGATATTATTGTTATACAAAAGTGGTTGAATTGTGGTGTTATTAGTGTGTTATTGTGGTAGTATTATGCTAGTTTAATGCTAGTATTCTCTGTTTCGCTCGTGATAAATCCTCCAACCATAATATTTTGGTGGTAAGATGAAATACTTTCCCTTCCAATACTAGATCATTATTCCATATCGTTAAATTAGCTATCAAACTTTTCATTGAACAAAGCAAGTAAAAACTATATGAAACAATGCTTATCTCGATTACATAAACTTTTGAATGAAGGTACAGCCACACAACCAAAATTACCAGGACGCTCTCTATCGACTCTTATGTTCTCTGTTTTCATTGGGTTCTTTCATTCTTCTATATTAACTTGCTTGAAAACACAGAGAATTATATGAGTTCGCACCCTAAACTCTAAATCCATATGCAAGGCTTGTTTCATAAAAACCTAAACATCACAAGACTTACATGGTGAGAGAGAGGAACTGCGAATGCTTCTCTTCAGGCGATCGACATTGCGAGAGGAGGAACTGCGAATGTTTCTCTCTTCCGGCGATCGACATTGCGAGGGATTTCAAACAAACCAGACCCTCGCTGCCAAAATCACAGGTGAAAATTGCTCTAGGAAACTCTACCGGATAGCGATAGAAGAAAAAGAAGATTGAAGAGGCGCGCAGGGTTTTGTTTTCAAAACTATGGGTTAGGTCATGCGCGAATATATATATATATATAGATATATATATTATTTTTTTCAGTGAGTTCTCCTGAGCGAGCCAGAGATTTTTCTTGAGAATGCACAATCAAATTTATTTAAAAATTATCCTGAATTTATTTATTATAATTTAAGATATGTAGACACTTTTTATTTTTATTATTTATCATATAGATAAACTTAAGATTAAATTTAATTAAGAATAAATAATTTGAGCTAATTATTATGAGTTAAAAAAATAGATGCAAAAATAAATGATAAATATAAATAATAAATAAATAAATAAATTTATTTAAATCATATATATATATATATATAAGGGGAGAGGGAATGCGCCCCCTCTAGCCCCTATGAATCACTGTTGTTCATTTGGCCCATAATATAGAAAAATATTATCCTTTTAACATTCAATAAAAAAAAGATTTATATTTCCTTAAAATAATTGATAAATAATATGTTATGATGATTAGTTGTGTCCCCACCATATCCTTGTCAAGTCTAACATGTATGTCAGGCGTTGAAAGCCATGGCCGTGACACTGTCATAACAACTTGTTCATGAATAGCTCGTGTTTGGCATAAATTAATAGTGTTCGGCATCTGTTGGCGTCTAAAATATATCAGATATTGCACACCTTCACTTTTGAAAAGCCAAAGCATCCTAATCCAAACTCCAAAAAGGGGCATCCGCTTTAAGTAGGTCTTGTTGGCTCATATATATGTTTGTGCATACGAGATTAATCTTGCTCCTTCCATTCAAACTTCTAAAATTTGTACGACTTTAAACGAAAGTTTCAGATTTTTAATCTCTGTTAAATAAATAAAATTATTACATATGTAATTTCCTAAGCTAGAGTTAGTGAAAATGAATAAATAGACCAACATAGTTGATATATCATCAATATAAAAATACAGAAAAATTGAGAGATTCAAGTTTGAACAAGTTTGAAATAAAAACTCAAATTTCTCAAATTTTAAATTATATTTTGATTAAAAAAATTATCAAAATAGATTCAATCTTTCTTATGATTTTTTCCTTTTACAAAAAAAGAGAATTAAAAGGAGTCAAGTTGTCTTTTCGGAAAGAGAAAGGGATCATTAAAGTTTATGATTGCAAGTCAGAAGTTCATTCAAGACAATAGACTATAAAATAAAATTGCGAAGAAAAAGTATCATTCTCCGCTTGAGCCAAGAAAAATACCTCTTAATATACTTACTGAAGTGTGCAAGGGGAGAGAAGATTTCATAGAGATAAATTGTAAGAGTGAAGGAGAGGCACAATGGGGCCTTGCAAAAGGGTTAGAGCTTCAATACTTAATTTTTTGGTTAATACTAAAATGACCCATTTAATAAGATACAAGACAAAAAACCTAGGGGTTTAGTGGTTATTAAACTCATAGGTTAATATATAAACTTTTAGCTGGAGAGCTATCGGTGGCAAAAAATTGCCTACAAATTTTCTGTATAGGTAAACAAACATGGTGAAATTAGGTATTTACACTTTATTACTGCTTCTCTCTGCTAAACTTGTTTGAAATTTTGCTTAAAAGACCTTCTTGTACTTACGGCTTTTTTTTTCTAGCACTTGTAAAATGGGTACGTGTAACAGTTTGGATAAACGAGAACACGTAATATGGTAAAATTACCTTGTTTGCCGGCTTGTTTCCTAAGCCAAATTGATTAGCAGGTTTTCCATCCGGAATCTTGTAATCCCTAAACCAATCTCTTATGGCGCTAACTGTACCCTGTAAAAACAAAAAAACAAAAAAATTATAAAAAAAATACAGTGATATCCGAAGAGTTAAGCCCAGCGTTCATTTTGTAACGCCATGCTTATTTCAATATTACATGTTTCCTCCCGTGATGTTTTAGAGGTACTTGAAAGTAAACCCTTTCAAGCAACTTCAAGATGAGGAGTTGCTACCTTACCTTGAAAAGTAAACCCTTTCAAACAACTTCTCATTTCGGAATTACACGAAAGTAAACGCTTTTTACAACTCTTGAGAAAAATAAGAAAGCATTTCAAATTATAATAAAAATTTTACAAATTCTAATCAGATATGTCCCTACTAGCTCTAAAATCCTCCAAAATAACAATATTCCATTATTTAAATACATATCATTATCAACAGAACTATTGCCACTGTGAAAGCGTAAATGATAAAAATGTATTTGCAAAAAAATTCACCTGAACTACAATGAATATAATAAAAAAAAAGATTACTAAATTTGGCTCTAAATCGTTGGGATAAGGCTTTGAAGAGAATGATGATGATTTCATCATAGTTAATGCAAGATTGTCTTCATACTATATATGAAGGTCATCTAAACATAGAAAACGGTTGAAAAAAAGTAGAATGTGCTGGAGTCCAGAACATCTAATTAATCGGAAATTTACATGCCTAGCACACAATTCTTATGTATTTACATATCTCACACCTAAAACTTTCATATTTACTTAACTAGCATTTTGGTGCTTTAAAAATATGCACGAAAACTTTCATATTTACTTAACTAGCATTTTGGTGCTCTAAAAATATGCACGAAAAGGTGTATTTCACTTTTTAAACGTGCTAATTTTATTGTGATATTACAGATTTGAGTGCTATGTGTGTAAATATGAAAGCTTAGGTTTAAGATATGTAAATACATAACAATTGTGTGCCATGTATGTAAATGCCTCTAAATTAATTCAAGCTCAGTATAGAATAATGTTGGTGCACATACTCGAGAAGAAAAAAGCATCAAATGGTTACCAAGCATGGTCATTATCATCACATTTATATTATAAGTTGACCTAACATTTCAACATTCAAAAATCCTGAAATTCCAGATAAAGAGGGATAAAAGTAATAAAATTAATAAAACGCATTTTTTGATATACAGTCCAATGACTAGAAAGATGTCAGATTACTATCAAAACAATCAAGAGAATTCAAGGAGGAGAAACATAGAAGATGTTGAATTTTGAAAATATTCATGAAATATATAATTGAAAAAGATTGGTTGGAGCAAATCAATACCGGAAAATATATCTCCAGATCATTTATATCGTTCACAAGAGAGGCTCTAGGATCATTCAAGGAAATTGCAACTATCTTCCAATCAAGTTCGCCTTCATCAATCATAGCCAAGGCTGCCACCGGTTTGACCTTAAGAACATCGCCAATTTTAGCCCGAGCATCACCAATCTCAACAACATCAACTGTGGAAAAATGTTGAGCAAAAAGAGAACATGAAAATGAATAACCTACTCTGATAGAAGATAAAGTAATCATATGAAATTTAATGGTATTTCACCTGGATCATTATCGCCTAAAGCCCCCTCTACCTCTAGGTTAGCATGTGATGGGTCCTCCCATGTTTGAGGAAGTAACCCATAATTCCAATTTATATTGTACCTGAACAACACAGCAACAAAAAATCAGAATGGTAAAATTTTAATGTTATGGTTTAAAATTTTCTATATAATTTAATAAATCCTAATAGACTGTGGATAATAACTGACAAAATAGTCCAAGGACGATTTATATGGGTCCATTTTAGTTCCAGACTCTTTTGAAGGGCCAATTTAGTCCCTCCACTCTTTTTTATGAGTTGAAATAGTCCTTATAGAGAACTATTTTATCTGTCATTAGAAGAGTTTGGGACAAAATTGACATTTTTATAGACCCTGAAACTAAAATGACCCCCTCCAAAAGAGTTAGGGGACCATTTTGCACTTTTCTCTATCTTTAAAGAGAAAAATGGGTAAAGATGGTTAATTTCTACAGAAGCTGGTATCCAACTGGGATCAAAGATTTACTGAAGTTTAAGAAACAAGAAAGATGGCATCCACCTGACCTCAAACAAAATTTGGATGTATAATGATTTAAAAATGTAAAATAACTTAAAATTTAATATTATCAAATACACTTTAGCTTAACCAACAAACTTGCTCCCAATTATATGAATGAGCATTCATTCAAAACGTTCATAATAAAGATGGAAAAAACATATCCAGGAATATTGCAAGCATTTCATCATCACACCACTATGATTTTCTTTTTTTTTATTTCTGGACTTAATACATCAGGCCAACAAAACATGCCAACCAGCCTTTGCGCACATTGGTATCAGCTTGCACATCTTCCACAGCTGACCAGCTCTAGCTTTATAGCAATGAAACTCTAATTAAAAATATTTATTTTGAGTAGGGGTGCATATTAGTAGGACAAAACTTTACAAAATTTCAACGCAGCCAAGATTGTTCAGTCGAGTCCATTTCGTTTGTAATAAATAAGTTCAATAATTGCTGACCAATATTCCTACTTCAGTGTATTATTTCTAAATTGGCTATGGATTTTAAGAAAAAATTGAGTAAGAATAAATAGATATTGATATTGATATTTGAATTCTTAATTTGAGTCTAGAGTCCATCCAAATTTCAAGCATAAAATTGGGTTATGGAATATACTTCAAATTCTGCCTGGACTCTAAAGTCTGGAATATATTCAGATTCAGTCCAATCTAAAATCCAGCTCTCGAAAACTTTATTTCTAGCAAAACACAGCTGAAATGGATGACTAAGATTTGGTCAATTTCGTTTAAATTTAGATTAGTTTGGATTCCAGACTGGCCACAAAATCAAACCAAACATTTCAACATCGGGTTATCTGAGTCAACTAAAGGCAGCTCAATTCTTATGCTTGGTTTGCATGAGAAATATCCAACACAGAAAATTCCAGAAATTTTTTTGTGAAGATACATTAAATAAGTATCACATATTTAATGTAGTTAATATGATCATAAAAACAGCAATATGAGCCCAAGGAAATATATGTTACAACAGTCAGTTTTAAAAAAATTTTCTATAGAACAATATTTTAACAATTTCCTAACTCTATATGGCCCTACAAAAAATACAGAAGATCAAGAAATAATTCAAACCTTTCCGCTGCATGACCGGGAAGAACAAGCTACTCCTTAGCAGATTATCAGAAATTCAGCTAAGGAGTTTTTTGATAACTAGATTGAGAACCGGAATGTGAATCTTCTCCCGTTGTAATCCAAAAACAGTAGTGTTTAGAATCCAAAATGCTGAGTACAGCCAATTGCTTGATCTTCTAAAAATCAGTTTCCAATATGAGATATGGCTAACAAACTCAATTTCTCATCTTCGCAAACAAGATTTCAGATATTTTACAATTTCTTACTGAATTTTTGAATTCTGTCGTCCAAAATTTTTTTTTTCTCAATTCTTGATCTTGCTACATCCAGATTTCATATATTATTTAATTTCATGATAATCAGATTTCAGAAAATAGGCAGTTCTTTTATCTGCCAAAACAAAGTTTTGAAAATTTAAATGTGAAAAAGCTTAATTGCTTTCTACTTTCAAGTTATTCCAAACTGAACGGAAAACTAGAATTCAACATTCTGCATTCCATACATTGTTAAATTGCTCAATTCATGTATTTATTAACTCCTGATATATTGAAACTTTGCATTCAACTTAACGCGACAAATGCGAAAATTCAACTTAACGCGACAAATGCGAAACAAATTATTGGAAGAGTGATAATTCAAGAATTGCTGAAAATCCTGAATGCCAAATTGTTTTTAGGAATAGCTAGAACTTTTTAATCCATAAATTATGGATCTCTATTTTATTTTATTTTGAATCATTTTTTTTTTATTTCTAATTTATTTAACTTGCTGAAAGTCTGAATTCCTTCACTGAGTGATTTCTTGAATTGTTACAATTCCTGAAAATTAGCCAATTATATAGGTTTATCTAGGCACACCGAGGGTAACATTGTTGAGGAAGTCATCATTGGTATGCCATGGCCCAGAATCAAGATAAAATTAGGCAAGAAGATAATCCACAATCTACCCCTCCTAATTTACAAATTCAAACCTTAATGGTCGAAATGCAAAGATTGTTGAGCAATGAGTTAGAACACATCCATGAAATATTAGATCAAACAGAAGAAGGATCATCTCGAGAAAAAAACACAAAACTTGTCAGGCATGTAATGAAGGGAAAGGGATCATTCGAGGCTAGTCCGGATAGAAAATGAGGTATTATATGTAGATGAATTTAATGAAGAAAAAGATTGGAATTTCATGGGTAGTCCTAGATGGAATAGAAGAACCCAAAAGAAGGAAGACAATAACAAGAGCCACATCAATAGCCAAAGGAGAGTAGAAACTAGCTATAAAAACACCTATTGATCCAAAGGTAGAATCCATCAATCCTGGATATCAAAGCAAAAATAATCCTATATCTTCTCAGAACCGTGATATTAAATGTTTTAAATGCCTAGGTAGGTGACATATAACTAGCCAATACTCAGACAAAAGAGTATAATATGAAGTGATGGGGATTTTGAGACTGATAATGAATCGGATGCTGATTCCAAGCCCAAATCAGAGGAAACCAACAAGGAATAATATGCTGTCCATAGGGAGTTAGTAATGGCTAGAAGGGCATAAAATATGCAAGCTAAGGCAATTGATGAGGTGCAACGAGAAAATATATATTATACTAGATGACACATTCAGGATCATGTTTGGAGTATGATTATTGATGGCAATAGCTATACAAACATGGCTAGCACTATCATGGTAGAAGATTCAGGATTACCAACACTCAAACACCCACAACCCTATAAACTTCAAAGGTTGAATGATAGTGGAGTGGTTAAGGTGAACAAACAAGTGCTAGTTTCATTCCAGTTGGGAAAAATATGATGATGAGTTCTTGTGTGATGTAGCACCTATGCAAACTAGACAATTGTTTGGCCCGGCCATGGAAATTTGATGGACAAGTTAAACATGATGGTTACACTAAAAAATATTAGTTTATATATAAGCAAAAATCCATCACCTTGGTTCCTATGACCCAAAAACAAGTACAAGAAAATTAAGTTAAATTACAAGAAAATAACTAAGAAAACAATTTAAAGAAGAATGAACAAAAGAAAGGGGTTGAAACTCTTGAAGTGATAGAGACACAAATAGTCGATGGAAGAAAAGAAAACATTTCTACGTAAAATCCTCAGAAAAAAAAGCGCAATATGTGCAAAACAACCTATTATTTTGTGGTCATATAAAAAAGTATTAGTAAATACTATCGGAATTATTTTGCCTAGCTCTATGGCTTAACTTTTAATTGTGTATAAGGATATCTTTCCTAAGGAGATCCCATCTGAATTACCTCTGATTTACACTATATAACACCAAATTGATTTTATACCAGGTGCAACCATTCCTAACCGACCTATTTTAGAAGTAACCCAGAGGAGGCCAAAGAACTATAAAGCTAGGTTAAGAGTGAATGAATGAAGGGTACATTGAAGAAAGTAGGAGTCCTAGTGCAGTTTCAGTTGTGTTAGCAACTAAGAAGAAATGGGACATGGAGGGCTGTGTAGATTGTTATGCAATAAATAATATCACTGTAAAATATCATCATCTCATCTCTCGCCTAGATATTATGTTAGATGAGTTACACGAATCTAGTAATTTTACTAAAATGAACTTAAAAAGAGGCCATCATCAAATTAGAATGAAAGAAGGTGACAAGTAAAAATTACCTTTAAAATGAAACATGAATTGTATGAATGATTAGTCGTGTCTTTTGGTTTGACCAGTGCACCAGATACTTCTTTGAGACTTGTGAACCATATTTTGCACGTGTCTGTTTTGACAAAATACTCATATATAGTAAGATCTTGGATGCACATGCACTCCACTTGAAATATGTTTTAAGTGAACTTAAGATGGTATTTTTGGGATTTGTCATGAATGCAGATTGATGAAGAGAAAGTATGATCTATTCGAGACTGGCCCAAACCTACAATTATAAGAAGGGGCTTTTACATACATAGCACCTAAAACTTTCATACTTACCTTTCTCACAACTAAAATTTCATAATTACAAAAATCATAAAAAAATTAGCACTCATTAACATCTTTTAATAGACAAATCCATCTTTTCATCCATAGGTAAAGCGCTATATGTTTAAAAATGAAAAATTAGGTGTGAGATAGATAAATCCATAAGAATTGGGTGCTATGTATTTAATTTTCCCTTATAAGAAGTGTTCAAAGCTTCCCTAGCCTTGCTAGTTTTTATAGAATATTTATAAAAACCTTAGTAGTCTTTGCTGCCCCGTTAATCCAAGTCATTAAAAAACAAGTTGGATGTAAATAGGGAAAATATCAGGTAAAGGCCTTTCAATCAATCAAAGAAAAATTAACTAATGCATTTATATTGGCCTTACCTAATTTTTTCAAGGTTTTTGAGATTGAATGTGATGCTTCTGGAATTGAGTTTAGCATCATTCTTATGCAGGAAGAGAGGCCAATCGCATATATTAGTGAAAATTTAAATGGGACAACTCTAAATTATCCTACT